ACTGAGGCAGAAAGGGCCAGGTCGGTCAGCTGGTCCAGTGGCCTCATTTCACAGATGAGCAAACTGTGGCCCAGGGAAGGGGAAGGGAGGCCAGGGGTCCCCTATGAGACAGAAGCCAAGCTGGTGTGGACTTGATCCCTGGGGGGGAGGGTCTATTATAGGAGGAGATTCAGCTCCTTGTTTAAGGGGGGTGTCCCTGAGCTTCCCAGGGTCTTTCTAGCTTGGTTCTACCATTGACCCATTGTGTGCCCTTGGGCAAGCCCCTTTTCCTGTTTGGGCCTGTTTCCTTGTGGAAAACAGATGGGTTGGGTAGATGACAGATGAGGTGCCATCCCATCAGCCCAGCCCTACTCCCCCAGGCCTCTTTGCTAGGCTCCTGCTCTGGCCCCGGCCACCTCATAGTCACCAAGATTGCCCAACAGCCTCCTCCGGCCTCCTCCGTTCTCTTCCCCTCTGATTAACCCCCACCCCGCCCCCCCATCGCTCAGGTAACCTCCTGAGGCTTGGGAACCTCCCATGGTGCCCAGGGCCTCCCTCAGAATAAGCCACCTCACCCCCTGGCAGTCGGCACATCCCGCCTGCAGTCAGACCCTGGACTCAGTTCCTCATGTGCCGCGGGCACTAACAACCCCTCAACTTGGGGGACTGTGGTGCAGACACGCTACCCGCACTCCTGGCTCTCTGTGCTGGAAAGGCTGCCCGTCCCACTCTCACTCTCCTTCATTCAAATCAATGAGGTCCCCTAAGGCTGGCCAAGTCCCACTACCTCCTCGAGAGGCCACTGTCTGGGGCCCCATCAGAGGTGACCCCGCCCACTTGGAGCTCCCACAGGCTGGACTCCACTCGCCTGCCTGCACCTGCAGCTCCCACCACCCGGTGGGCAGTATAGAAGGGGGGCTCCTAGAGAACCAGCTGGCAAGGCACTGGCTGAGGGAAAGGCTGGGCCTGTGGGCTGCAGCTCACTCCCCTACCTTCCCCCGGGCTCTGTTTTTTTTTAAATATATTTTATTGATTTTTTACAGAGAGGAAGGGAGAGAGATAGAGAGTCAGAAACATCGATGAGAGAGAAACATCGATCAGCTGCCTCCTTCCCATCCCCCACCGGGGATATGCCCGACCCAGGTACATGCCCTTGACCGGAATCAAACCCGGGACCTTTCAGTCCGCAGGCCGACGCTCTATCCACTGAGCCAAACCGGTTTTGGCAGGGCTCTGTTTTTGACACAGATTATCTTTGACCTTCAGAGACATCCTCAGCACCAACTTCAAAAAAAAGCTCATAGTTGGGCCTCAAGGCAGACTCTTAACTGGAGGTTTTAGACCCTGTGTTGCCCTTTTCAGATGATTCTCAAAATCAAAAAGACTCAGAAAGCTTCCCGGGTTAGAGCATCATCCCACTACACCGAGGCTGCAGGTTCAATCCCCAGTCAGGGCACACACAGGAAGCAACCAATGAATGCATAAGTAAGCGGAACAACAAATCGATGTTTCTCTCTCTGCCTCTCCCTTCCTCTCTTTCTCTAAAATCCATCAATAAAAATAAATAAATAAAAAGAGGAGAAAAAGAAAGCAAGCTTCCCCCAAAGACCCAGGAAGTGGTCGCTGGTAGAAAATCCATGTTATTAGAAGAAACTGCTAAGGGAAGAGAAGCCAGACGTAGGAGCTTAGAGACCACCCACTCGAGTCTGAACACTGCTTCAACCACTGGTAGGGTGGGCCTTGGGCAGGTTACCTAATGCCTCCCAGCCTCAGTTTCCTCATCAGTAAAGTGGGGACAATACTACCTATTAGATAAGAATTAGATGATGCATGCAGAGTGCTTAGCTCATGGCTTGGTACCTCATATATGCTCAAAATATGCTAGCGATAAGCCTTGTTGATGACAGATGGACACAGGCCCCCAGCTGAGGGTGGGGAGGAGGGCTGTCGAGAAGCAGGGAGGCCCAAGGCACAGGTTGCTTAGCCAGAGGTGGGCAGCGGGTTAGAGGCTAGAATAAAACACAAAGTCCCCAGCCTGTTGCTAAGCAGTCTATATACATTACCTCATTGAAACCTCAGTCAAAAATAGGGATTTAGAACAGAAGCTTCCTAAGGCTTTTCCAATTCAGCGAGTACTTGTAAAAGGTTTTCTGTGTACAAAGTATTTTTCACTTTGTAGTCAACCTACAGTCCTGTGTGTGTTGTAATAGTTGCAACAGTCACACAAGTAGATCTGGGACAGGAACCAGGAGGAAGGCTCCGTCTTCCCCCAGGACCTGGTGGCAGAGGGTTCTGAGAGGGGTGGGTGAGACCCGAAGCTCCACCCAGGGCCCAGGGAGGGGCATGGCCCTTGGAGACGACGTCATGGAAGCTTGGCTCTGGCTCCTGCCCCGCGTCCGGTTCTGCCGGGCGATGCCGAGCCCAGAGGCCTGGGTCTGGAACCCATCAACCCCACCTGTCAGACCTCCATGGCTGGCTCGCTGGCCTTTGGTTATCACTAAGGAGAGTGTGGCTTCAGTCCAGGGGCCCTGAATCCCTTCCCTGCTAGCAACCTTGGGGCAGGGAGATGTGTTCCCATCAGCCAAGCATCTCCAATTTGACTGAGCTGTTATATGACAGGCTCTGTGAAATACGCAAAGACCTCACTATTCATAAATATTTATTGAACACCTACAGTGTGCCTGGCCCTGAGCCGGATGCAGGGAATCAGACAGACATTCCTATTTACTCTAGTAAAATAAGCTGTAAAGGAAAGCTACGTGTGATGGGAAATAAAAGAGAGGAGTTCGCTCTACTCAAGGAAAACGGAGAAGGCCTTTGAGCGGAGAGGATGCATAGCTGGGAAAAGCATTCCAGAGAGAGGAAAGGGCCCCCGAAGGACCCTGAGAGAGGGACATGCGGCGTATTTGAGAGCCACAGGACCAGTGTGAGGTGGGCACACAGTAGGCTCGCCCTCAATAAATGCCAGCTGAACAAATTAACCAAACATCACAAGGATTCCTGCTTCCAGCCAAGGTGAAGCAACAGGGACTGGACTGACATTCCCACCTAAAACAACTGAAATGCCCAACAAAATATA